TCGCATTTTCTGACGAACGTATTATTTTGAGTTGTGACTCTTTTGAAGACGGTGTGCGATATGTAGATACAAACAAATGCATGTATGTATGTATGTATATGTATAATAATAATAGATTGGCGCTTACACAATGTGGTAGAGTTTGGCCGAGGTTTTCCACCGAACGGCGGTTGTATTTTTATGAGAAGCCTTTTCATGGCACCTCTAACCACTACACCACAGCAAATCAAACTGGTTCAGAATTTGCGTCGAGCTGTCTAGAAAAGGGGCGGTACTGGTTTTACGTCCATTCCAAATCAGTGGGACTCATGTATAGAAGGTGAGCTTAAGCTCAGACTTAATATTTACACAGATGAAGTGTGCTGAAACTCAAGAAAAATCTAGTCTGTGCTTAAACTCACTTTTTATGCATGAGGCCCAAAATATTTAACTGTCTTTTTTATCAGGGCGACGCCCTATGAAGTGGTAATTACCCCCCACACCCGCAAAACTGTAGAGCTCGTTCGAAACTGGTTCCATTCTGGACAAATCTAAATTTTTTATGACGAATCATTTTTATGATTTTTTTTTATGCTGCAGGGTAGGTTTGTATGTACATTCAAAGTAGCTCTTCTATTTAAAGCAGAGATGGGCACCGCCTTCTCTTTAGCTTTATATATATTTCATATAGACGTTTGCTGAGTAAAAGCTCTATCTGCCCGTCGCTGATTTAGAGTGCACGCATGTAGTGCATACCAGGGATGGAATTTCAAAATTTCAAAATGTTCCTAATGGTCTTCAAAAATAGTGCCGATAAGTAGATGAAAGTGACACAAAATTAACAGCCTTATTCTGTATCACGAACGATAAGCAACACGAACGATTCGTCTGCACGACAACATCTCTGATAGCGATTTTATTACTCTATCGGTCGTCTTCGTCTTGCTTTTCATATATTACGTTACAATGGTCTCGGTTGCGTTTAAACCGGCTAGTCTGCTCGTTCGTAGGCGAAGCAGGTGAGCCGAATGTACTCTTCTCCTCTCTTCTCACCTCCTTCGCCTACGAGCCGAACAGACTTGAAAGCAAGACTTGACGTGTCTGAAAGGGGTCTTAACAGATTTGAGCTGCCGGTTCCCAATACGGGCTAAATTGATTTCTTTTCGAATGCCTTACTCTAATCGATCTAAATTATTCTATAAACTTTGAGTCTTCGTGCTGAATTTCTGAGTGCAAAGTCCATAACAATCATGCAAAACGAATTTAGGTATGTCTGCATTGGTTGAACGAAATACATGATCTTACATACACATAAATATTAGGGCTGTTCAGGATCTTGTGCATAAGCTCTTGCATTTGCATATTCGTTGCATTTGTTAATTCACAACAATAAAATGCACATGGTTGCCATGGCGGCAAGCATAAAATTTGCAAATGCAATTCCAACTGCAAATCCAAGATTATTTCCACAACATAATGAACAGCCCTATTGTATTATTTTAATGCATTTCGTATTCCTCGTTCTGGGAATAACTATACCTTAAATGAATCGCTCAATCACTGTCTCAAGCACACGAACGAGTTGGGTGGTGAGTTGGATATACATACATACGTACTAGGTACATACTATCGGAAAGTAAGGATACTTTTAAGTCTAAATTGATTGCATTGCTGCATTGTATTTATTGCTCGTTATTGTGAATTTTTAAGATTGTTTCAAAATTACTAAGCTCCTAGTGAATAGGGTTTTTGCTAATTTTTTTTAGAAAAATGTCAATAGACGTTTTTTAAAAGTTTAAAACAAAAATTGAAGTACGAAAACAAAACATTTTTGATGTAAAAAAGCCAAAGGCAAATGATCGTGCAATCGTGACAAATATGCTTCTTCAATCCAATCACGAAAAACATTTTGTTCAAATTTTTCCATACAAGTTCGCTGTATTGTACCAATCGTGTGACTAGAAAAAACTTTTCGTCCCAATATTTTTTTTATTTTGTACCCAATAGCCCAATATAAAAAATGTACAAATCTGCACAAATATGCCGATCGTGTGACACTGCCTTAAGAAATTAATTTTTTGAAAGACAATATGCAAGGATTCTGTACCATTTCCAAGAAAAATTTGTTTTTTCCGCTTTGAGCGGCCTCTAAATATTTTGGGATTTCGAAATAAAATAAAAAGGGTACACATTTTTCGATAGATAACAATCTTGCGCATCATAGATGTGTAAAATCAGCAACGCTAGCCTCTGAACTATGCACACCCCGTAAACTAGCATTGCTGACTGACTATGCATCGATCGATGATGTGGATTCGATTCCGGCTTAAGTCTAAAAAAAGACGTCTGATGAGATGTGGTGATCTCCGAAATAACAGCTATAACTTCTACTGCTTGGACTTTTTCGCTTTTTCCATATTTCCTAAAAAACAAATCGTGGTATAAAGCTCAATGTCTTTTTCGTTAAACATTTTCTCAACTTATTTCACATTCATTCCTGTTTCATATTGGGATTGATCAATAGTATATCTATTGTCGATTTTTTTATTCACAAAATTTCATAAAGTAATAAAATATATAATAGGGCAATTCATATAAACGCGTAAATGCCTCGTTACCACGTCAACCTCGAAAACTTACTTAATTTTATATGGAAACCCGGTTTATTTACAAGGTTTACACGATTACGAGGCATTTACGCGTTTAAATAGATGAAACCCCCTAATATTTTCTTTTCAAAAAGTGTTTTAATTGGGTTTTAGAAGTAAATCAAAATAATTGTTTTAGAAAAAAATATAGTTTTCGGCTCTAAAAAAATGCGAGTTAATTTTTTTTTTTTATTTGATGAAAGGTAGAGAATTTAATTCCCTACATACAAAACTACACCCGATTTTTTTTATTTGTCATATTTAATCGTTTATAAAAACAAAATTGGGGAAAAAAATTATTTCATTGAAAATTATAATTTTTGCGTGCGCTTACCCAAAAATGAAGATAGAAGGCTGAAATTTTGTCATAATTATACATACGTATGTACATACATAGGACAACTCAGACATGATTATTAGTTCATGGAAAATTTTATACGATCAGTTGAGTATTGATGACAGTTCCGTCTTTAAGCCACAATCAGCATATCACAATTTATTCCTAAACTTGTAAACTCTTTGATTATCAAAAATTTTCTTAATGAGTTTGACCTAAAACTACGACGAGTTTAGCTATTCTCTGATAAGAATCAAAAATTTAAAAGTGTTATTAATTTGTTGTGTTTCATAACAACTCTCTAACCTTGAGAAATCAAATTTGTAATAAACTTTTAAATTTTACTATAGTAATTATAGCTGGTGAAAATTAGTATAGACTATTTTTATTTATTAGTATAGACATGTGTATATCGCTTGTTAACAATACTCGCCAAATTTTCAGCCAGACTAAGGTAATTAAATTAATTGAGGGATTCACAACGGTATCGTAAATGTCGTATTGTTGTATGTCGTAAACTTTAAAAGCTTAAATAAATGTTTAGAGAACTTGAGACCACAACCAACTATTTTTTAACACTGCGAAAATGCATAATACGACTTTGGTGGTACTTTGCGAACCCAGTTAATACATTTTTCCGACATTCAACAATACGACACTTACGACACCGTTGTGAATACCCCAAATGTTCAAAAATACATACATTCGCACATATCAGCTAATGAAGCGCTCCATTTTATAACAACTGCACTTCGTTTAAAACAGTTAAATTAAATTGGATGCGCCAGCTAAAATCTTTTAAATAACCAGTATGTACTTTGAGCGGCTCGAGTGCAAGCTTATTAGCAGAAGAAATGTGTAGGTACCCGTTTTAATGACGGGAAAATATTGTGAGTTGCCAAATCTTCGAAAATAATACATATATATGAGTGTACGTTAGGGTGGTCGAAAAACAGTAAAGTCGGAATTGTAATGCTCACACCCCCTAGGATTGTTCTATATCGAAAAAAAAGTATACGCCTATTTTTTTTTTAAAAACGCTCAAAGTTTTCCATGTATTTTTATATGGGAAAAATACAATTTTTCGTGGAAATGGTTTAGGATTCTTGAAAATCAATATTTTTCGATCGGAAAACTCTGGTTCTCTTCAGCCTACTTTAAATAATAATACCCAATTGTTTATTTAACCATTTTTTAATACTGACGATTTTTTATTGGTCGCCCTATTGAATTTATCGGGGTTTTTGGCGGACCTATAATTTATAGTTGCGATAAGAAAATGGTTAAATAAACAATTGGGTATTGTTATTGGGAATCTCCTGCAGATAAGCAGAGTTTTCTGGTCCAAAAAGTTTGATTTTTAGCTATTCTATACCATTTCTACGAAAAGTTGCTTTTCCCCATATAAAATACATGGAAAACTTTGGGCGCTTTGAGCGACCTCTACATATTTTTTGATTTCTAAATAAAAAAAATAGGGGTATACTTTTTTTCGGTATAGAACAATCCTAGGGGTGAGAGCATAAAAATCCGATTTGACTTTTTCACATGCATTTTTGGACCACCCTTGTGTACGTACACTTAAATATAAAATTGATAAGCAAATTGTTTGCTCAGGCAGCTGTTAACACAAAACGGAGTGCAACAACAGAATTGATACGTCTACACGTGTACATATGTGTACATACAAGTTGTAAAAATATTTTGAATAAAATCCATGTACATACATATGTACATATGTATAACTGAAAAGACTGGGCCAAAAGAAAATAAATAATACAAAGCGATCACCTCACCGAACAGGTTAATTTCATATTCAAATCAAAGGCAAGTTGGTCGTTGGAATTTCACCAGCGTTTTTAAAATAAACAATAAATATGTGTTAGGTATGTATGTATATATGTACTATGTACATATACTTGAGCATATGTCACATAGAATCATATGTACATACATACGTATCTGTCCAGAAATTCGCAAATATTTATTTTGGTTTTTTAAATATAAAATAAAAATAGCTTTAGAATGCGACTTACTTTTTCTTCTCCGGACTATTTAGATCAGATGATCTGCGACCGCTCTCCTTGATTTCAAACAGCTTCTCATAATTTTGCGGTACACCTGCACGAAGAAATTAGAATAAGTCATAACAATTTAGAAATCGCCATACAAATAACTAAATAAACATCGTTAGCCTAAACTAGTTACGAACAGAGGGTGTGTCTATAAATTTAGTGCGTGTGTGTATTTTTGGGGTGGTCCAAAAATGCATGTGGAAAAAAATAAAGTCCGAATTTTAATGCTCTCACCCCCTAGGATTGTTCTATATCGAAAAAAATATACCCCTGTTTTTTTCCAAAGAAAGATCGCTCAAAGCGCTCAAAATTGTTCATGTATTTTATCTGGGAAACAAAGTTTTCCTTGAAATGGTATAGAATACTTGAAAATCAATACTTTTCGATCGGAAAACTCTGTTTCTCTTCAGAAGACTTCCAATAATGATACCCAATTATTCATTTTACCATTTTTTAATACTAACAATTTTTGATTGGTCCCCCAATTGCATTTTTTCGGGACTTATAAAAAAGAGTTATTATATTATTATTGGAAGTCTCCTGAAAGAAACAGATCGAAAAATATTGATTTTCAAGATTCTATACGATTTCAACGAAAAATTGATTTTTACCATATAAAATAAAGGAAAACATTCGGTTTGAGCGATCTTTAAGTGTGAACCCACACCGAAAACGAAAACGCGTTTGTTCGTGTCGTATAGAGCTAAATATTTTTTGGTTTCAAAATAAATAAAAAAATGGTGGTATATTTTTTTCGGTATCGAACAATCCTAGGGGGTGAGAGCATTAAAATTCTTTAACTTTACTTTTTTTTTGCTCACCCTAATGTATATGCATAATTGACTGATCGATTATTTTATTAGCGATATTGCAACCCTAGTAGATATTCGTTTCCTTAGCGCCAGTTTTTATGTGGAATGAACAAATATTCAAAACAAAATCAAACTTAATTGGTCAATTTATTTTTGTTTTTGTTTGCAATATCACCATCCATACTATTATTGTTATTTATACGGTTAAACTATAAAACCGGCAAGCAATAAAAATGCATAAAGAGACAAATAAGAGAGTAATAGCGAATTGGACACAAGCACACGAGTAGCGATGTTCACTCTACTTATGTAGTTTTACATTTTTAGTTGTTCACTCTTTTAGCCTGTAAAAGTTTTACCGATGTTACCCTGCAGTAATCGCGCTAGTTCAGAACATGCGCAGAACTAGCTCTTAAAGAGGCGATCCCAACGCAATGCGCTTTCAACTGTGTCTTCTTAATTGGCGATGTCCTACGAAGTGGAAATTGCCACCTCTGCAGAACTTTCGAACTAGTTCTGAACTGGTTCCATTTTCGACAATTCTGGGACAATAAGTTTTTTATAAGAAAAAAATTTTAAAATTCCTCATTTGAAACAATTGGTTCAGCTGTTCTTTGTATTTCAGTCAAATTTGGAAAGACTTAAGATTCTGGGATTTTTTGAACTAAATATTTCTTTAAAAAATGCTCTAGGAGGTACTAAATTTTAAGTATCGAATCAAATTTTCAAAAAATTAACAAGGCAATTTGCGAATACACAATAATGAAACTGAATTTCTTTAAACGATTTGTGATGTTCCATTTATGAAATCTAGTTTTGTTTAGTTAAGTATTATTGAAACGGTTAATGTTATTCTATTTTAAATTAATCGCTTTTATTATTTATTTTTAATAAATCTAAAAAACCTTCCTTTTTCTGAAACTTTTGTTGTTGTTGTTGTTGTTGTTTCGTGTACAACAACTCCGCCCAGATCCGCTAGTCCCTCAATCGTTGTCGTCAAGCTCAACTAACGGGAGACCCAAGAACCGTGCTTCTATAGGGTCCGTCCATAGGGACAGAGATGTTAGTTGAGTGGGGTTTAGTGGGCATTCGAAGTGATTTCTTGAGTCGTGGGGTGTCTCTCCGGATGCCGGCACTCGTTGGGCACATCCGCATCTAGTCTGCTACGAGTTTAACCTGCTGCAGTAGCCAGAGTGAAGTTGGGCTATTGTGGTCCGAGCTTCCCGAGGCAGACGAAGCTCTGTCTCGTCCACGTCAGGTGGTTATGTGCCCAGAACGGAATTCACAGGTCGGGAGTCTACTAACTTGGGATCGACTCCCTGTGAATGCCGCTCAAGGCTTGTCGATATCCTCTCGGGTCCAGAGGTTGCTTCATGAACCCCTGGACTTCGTCCGTCAGTTCGTATATATATATGCCTTCTGACGTACCTTGGCGAGGTCTTCTCTGCAAGAAAGTGTCTGTGCAGGTGCCCATGTCTGTGGCTCCCTACTAAGAATTGCTTGCAGAGCATAATGTTATGCTCCCTTGTGGGGAGCATTTGCGCCTCGTCATGAAGGTGATGTTGTGTCGACAATAGAAGACATCCGGTCGCTGTCCTGTGTGCTGAGTTTTGAGTTGTCGTAACTTCGTCCACTGCGTCCTACTAGTCCCCGGCGACCACACTCGCGCTGCGTAGTTTAGAACCTTGTTAGCCTTGTATGTTGCCAGCAACGTTTCTTTGTCTTTGCCTCAGGTTCTGCCGGCCAGCGAATTGAGGACATTGTTGCGGATCTGTACTTTATTAACAAGGGCGGTTGTGTGCGCTGAGAAGGAGAGCAGGCAGGCGAAGGTAACTCCGAGGATTTTCGGGTTATTCGCCGTCAGAATCGGTTCCATCTGGGGGTTGAGGGAGCTTAGAAATATAAAAGTTAAGCAGTGTTGGGAAAAGGACACCGCCTATTTGATTTTCATGGGTTTGCTCCATTTGTCTCTAAAAATTACTGACGAGTGTCGACCACTCAGATGACTCGCTGACCACCGTTTGGGTCCCTGTGGGAGAGAGGAGGCCTCTATATCTTCTAGTAGTGTGGAGTAACTGATGGTGTCAAACGCCTTTGACAGATCCAATAGAATTGTTCTCTCACAGGGGCGGTTACGGTTTAGGCCACGTAATATCTGAGTGTTTATGGCGTTAAATGCTGTTGTTGTGGTGTGAACTTTACGGAACCCTTGCTGATGCTTCGCTGCGGTTCCTAAAACGTGCTTACAGTTTTTTGTTCCAAAATACAGTTTTCTTCGGAAAATTTACAGTTTTTTTAAATAACTTTCTGGCAACACTGTTTGGGGGCCTGTTTTTGCTAGCTACCTAACAGCACTCAACATATCTACTCGTACAAAGTAGCTGGAGCTGGTAGCGAGCATGCCTGACCTCCACATCTCAACCGCATGGCAGTAGTGCCAAAGAGTGTGTGAGTGCTGCCGCCAACGCAATGTCAGAGTATTCTCGAGAAAACGAGCATTTTCCGTACTTTACAACCCGATAGAATGAGCAGCAACAGCAACAGTAAGAGCAGCGAGAGCAACAACAAAATACACTCATTTCACACCACACTAGCAAAACATGTGCTATGGTTATGACGGGCAATGGGATGTGAGGTGTGTGGTTAACGTATTTGAATGCCTCGAGATTTTTGTGTGACATAACAACTTTTATTTCGTTTCACTGGCATTTGTAAAAAGAAAACGATTGTCCTTATTGATTTCAGGGACATGCAACCGCTAACGGTTATTGAACTGTTAACCGGAAATGTGATTTTTGTTATTTCGAAAAAAAATATACATAATACTTTACTAACCTCGGCGTGTTTTGGCGACAATCTTGCTGGGGCCTTTGGATACGGTCAACATTTTACGGATGCTCGCACTGCAAAAAATATCGGGCCGTGGAAAATTTTCACTTGCACTTTTGTGTCGACCGGCTACAGGGAGGCGATAGAAGCGCGTGATTGTTGGCAAAATTTTCCAATTTAAATGCGGCAATGACGCTTTGACAATCGCCTTCAGAAAATTGCACTCGTAACCGTCGCGCAATTTAATTCTTTAATTGTATGTATGTATGCTCGAATGTAAATTTCTTTGCCCTTGTCTCGTCCCAACGACCGCACTTGTCCTTAACTCTGCCACTGCCGCTGGCCTCAGTGCACGATACAGTAATAGCACTGCCCTTTGTTATTTAATAAAAATGTGTATTTATTAAATTGCACTTATTTGTATAAGTTATTCTCTCTATTTTGGTATTATTTACCTTTTTATTGTGTTTTCTAACTTCGACGTCGAGAGGAAAAAAATTCACTTTAATTTCATCACAACTTCAAAACATTTCAGAATCTTTATATCACAAACACTTTCGTATGCCTTTACTCTTCGTTAGCCACTTTACATAACATAATTCGGTATTTAGTGCACTTCCACCAAAAACTTCTTAAATATTGTTATGTAGCTGCTTTGTTGAATGAAAAACAACGTGCTCAACCAGGGGGGCGGCTGATTGGAGTTATTTTATTATATTGTATAATTCACCACTACCACCACTTGGTCTCTACTATATTCCTACTTAGTGAATAAGTTCTTCAATTTATCTCACCGCTTCGCTTGAGTATAAGTAGGTACTATGTTTAATTTAAAGTATATCACCTCAACCTATATAGTTGTTAATTTCTCAGCATGTGAAAATCAACTGACAGAATTGCCGGCCAAACACCCCACATTATACGCCGCAGCAATAGTAGTATGTATCTCACAGATATGTGCCACTTATTTTGAAAGTGGCATAAGTCACTTCATACCTATTTTGGTTAAATGGCCGGTTACTTGTAACCGGGTGCAACTGTAAATCGTTCTATTTTCATAAACTAATGACAAACCCTTTTCCCTTTCGTTGATGCAGTTGAACGAATAACCGACGCGTTCATATACTAGTAACAGGTCATTTAATCGCAAGAGGTGCGAAGTGACTTATGCCACTTTCAAAATAAACGGCTCATATGTAGGAAAATGTTGAATGCATCTCATGCGCTGTGCTCTCCCCACAACAGTAAGCCACACACATACTCATACAAGCAATCAAAAGTCAAGTTACTCACCTTTTCTCCACCACCACCCGCTGGGGTATATAATTCTCAACTTAACGAAACAGCTGTTCTTGTGTTGTGTAATCAAACATGCCCAACGAAAATCGGCACTGATAACAAATCAGCAGTGATGTTTTTTCTTCAGTGTGGTTTATGTAAATGATGAGGTGAATAGTGAAGTCTCCCACCTTTTTTTTTGAGCGGGAAGTGGTTCATTCGAAACGTTATGCCGAAACGTTTGAAAACGCATACTTAGGCCTTCTGTTGTAAGTGGAGATTTCGGCCCCCTTGCGCCAGAAACATCAATGTGTAAAAATTAAAATGTTGGGAAATCAAGTTTTAAAGTCTCTTCTGATGAGACTTTTATATGTACTACGTTTATGCGGCAGAATTCGTGAATTCTTCATTTGATGAATTCAAAAAGGGTTCCGTTTATGCATAAATCGCGAATTCATGAAATGCGGTTTTTTTGAAAAAGTGGCAGCACACTAGCGAGGGACTAAACAGTAGGGTTGTGGTTTTTTGGCTTTTTTTTGAATTCCCTAAGGCGTTGGTACCAAGAAATGAGCCACGTTATTTTTAAATTTGAATTCATTTTATATTCGAACAAATTCGCGTAACTTTTCCAGAGTTTAAAATCATGGTCTTGCCACGTCCATGCTCCTCAACCACTTACATCGATTTAAATTTAAAATAAATAATTTCTAAATGTTTCCAATCAGTGGACGTGGTAAGAATACAAATTAAATTATGTGGCTTTATATTCCTGAAGAAATACTTAAGGTTGTTTAGGTGCGACAGGAATTATTTTGTTTTTACTTTTTCTTTTAAATAAATACTATATATGTATATTTGAAGTGTACTATATTTTTTCAGATTTTTTTGAAAATGTACCTACTATATATATCGAGCCCTAACCGCCAAAATAATGTAAGCGACATTTTTTCAAAATTTTCTTTTTGATGCAGAAATATTCCTAGAGCATCTAGATGCATTTCTGCATCAAAAAGAAAATTTTGAAAAAAATTTCGCTTACGTTATTTTGTCGGTTAGGTTGCGATTTTTTAGAAAATGTAGGCAACCCTTTTAGCAGCAGCGACTTATGGCCGGTTGCTCAAAGCCTGGTTGACACAATCTCCGGTTAAACATCTTTATCGACGTTGCCGGCATCGTGTTATATGCATGGAGTCGAATACGTCAATAACGATGTTAACCGGAGATTAATGTCAACCAGGCTTTGAGCAACCGGCCCTAAGCGTCATTTCCCTACAAGATGATCATTAACGGAAGTTCCATTAGGGCGAGGATATTGAATTTAAGTATGTAAACGGTTGCGCGCTGTCACAAATAAAATAAAATAAAAAACACATTGTTCATTGTATACATGGTGCCAGTAAAAAGATACATATCGTTACCTTAATATAGAAAGGCCCTATCTCACAACGACGCTGAAATACAAAAAGCCGTAACTAAGCAAACATCCGAAATGCCCGCTTCGATTGATTATGATGTATTTCATCGAATTATGTGTCCCAAACCATTTTAAGCAATAAAAAATTTTAGTCAGTTACGGCTTTTTTGCATTTCAGCGACTGTATGAGTTAGGGCCTTTCTATATTAAGGTAACGATATTGACCTTGAATGACTTCGTAGTTACATATGTTTTAGTTAAGATTTCGCGGAGGCACGAAAAATTTCCATATGGGCTGGGATGTGCTTCTAAGAAACTTGACAACCTTTGCAGGTAGAATTAGTGGCAGTTCGCAAAATGCCAGGATATTAGGATTTCAAATAAATTGTATGCTGAAAATTCGTTATGTTTCTAAATAGAGGTAGACAGGGCAAAGCGTCAAAAAGGCGTTAGTTAACCTTCTGTGCATATGTATGTGGGTGCGCTTAATATTTCCCAAATTAAATAAGCCCACATAAAACAAGGACAAATAGCTGAAAATTCTCTAAAGAAAAGGTTGCCGTGAGTACATACTACTTGTATGAAAATAAATAAACGGTATATTCTATGAAACTCCAAAAAAAATCGTATATAAAGAGTAGACAATTGTTATATTTGTATTAGTTAACCAATAACTCTTCCCTCTGCTGCAGCTGTAATACCTCAGCGGGAATAGGATTTGCTGGTGTTTTAGAGGTAAATTATACATTTTCATTGAAGTTCATGACTCATAACAAGCAAACATTTTTTATTTTGCAGACTTTATTTATTGCACCAAATACGTTACAATGGAATGTTATGCTTTAGCCTCGGGATTACCTGGCTATTTTAAGCGTATGAATATAAATCAGGTACATACGCCATCACCGACAGTTGCTAACAATAACGGCTGCAGCAGCCCACCTCCCCAACAGCAGCGCAGCGAACCAAGTAACGTCAATACAATGCCAGCAGTGCACAGTCCATTGAATGTTGTTACACCACGCACGACACAGTCGCTTCCGACTGAGCTGCGCAAGAGGAGAAAACGTTGTCAGGAGAGATTACATCCATACGCTACGCCAAGCAATGTTAAAGCGCGTAAAAGTTTAAGATTTTAGAAAATCGGAATCGTAGAACCGCAAGGGCAAAGGCAATATAACATACTTATACTATACATAAGTAGTTATTAGATATGAGAAAAAAATATATATATAATTTGCGTAAAATAACTCTAAATATATATATATATATATACATACATACACACATATGTATATCTTTCAAACAAAAGTAGCCCTGATATTAAAATCGTAGCGGCTTGAGAAGTATCTTTGTAAACTAAAATTTGTATTCTTTTTAATTTGGTTATGAAAATGTATCTTAATACAATTTAAATTCCCTACATACATACGTACAACGAACTTCTGATCCCAAACGGGACATGAGAATATCTATAAAAATAAATAGAGAAATTTCAATTAAATGTGCTATTTTACTTAAGTAACTACTAATTCTACTGAGACTTATTTTGTGGCGTTCCAGTGTACATACATAAGTGAATAAAAAAAAATCAGAATATGAGATAGGCTGAAAATATTTTGGATTGTGAAAATCACTTTATTTTCTTGAAAATCGTACTTGCTTTATATAAAGAAAAGTGTTTTTAGTTGCAAAATCACTAATCATATTGATTTTCTCGACAAATCGATTCACTAAAAAAATGATTTTTATATAGGGTTGACGAATCAAATCACAAACAAATTAAAATATTATTTGGCCGACAAATCAAATCGTAAATATAAATAAAATCATGCACGCTAATAATTAAAAATCGTGCACAATTTTTATTTTGGTTATTTAATAATGAATTTTATACAACATTTCTTTTAATAAACATTCTATATTTCGCTCAAAGGAAGTGGTAACGTCGTCCAAAGTCACCAAACATTAAACATAAGAAAAGGACAATTTAAGTATTTTTCAAGATACATTTTCTAAAATTACGTGCGAAGGTGTATATTTTCTTGCTTTGCAATTAAAAGTTAAAATGGATCTACTCTTCGAAAGTCAATTTTCAAGAAAAATTACTTAGAAGTTAAACGGGAATTCGAACAAAATCAGTAGGTCTTCTTTATTCAGCCCATTTCAAACTTAAAATATTATTCATGGACTTTAACTGTTATAACTTTTATTAAAAAATTAGTTTTTATGAGTTATTTAATGAGTTTTTATTTTGCTCCAAAGTTTTTGATACGCTGAATCTGAATTTCCGAGAAGCGATGTTAATTAAGTACACATTTTTATCAATTTTTTTCGTATTTTGATTCAGAGTGGCTGCCAAATTGTTGACAAATTTCGCATACGACAAAATTGTACTGAAGAAAATCCTTCGTTTCTAATAATTAGGCGTAATTAGGTTCGTTCGCGTAGCTGTTAATTGTTCATGTTTAACCAAAACTTACAAGTTTTTGCGTTCGCGTACGCAAAAAACTTGCAAAGTAGGGGAAATTGAGAGAGCAAAGTGACATTTCATTTTGAGGGGAAGCTGCTGGTTTCTGCTGGAAAAATTTTTGCCAACAGGAAAACAGCTGATCAAAAACAGCTGGTTGGCATTTA